AACAGACGACCATAATGAAAAGTCAAATTACGACACTCGTAGAGCTATTCGTTGTAATCGAACCCAGTTACGAACAACGTACACAATGTAGACAAAAACCAATGTTATTGGAAACTCCAGGATGAACACAGATAAAACATAAGTCGAAAGACTTGCCGAAGACTCAACAAGACGTAATAATATGCAATCGCCTTCAGTACCTAACCGTTTATCCCTGAATTGATTCCCCAGACACACTCACACCTAATTCGAAATTATCTAATAGGAGAATTATGAAATTAGATAGATAAGCACATTTTCAGTGTTATTTAAATATTAAATTAAATAATACAATTAAATATTAAATAATACAATAGTAAGAAGGAAATTCTAGGCACAGAAAGTTATTGGGTAAAGTGGAACTATAGAGTGACACTAAAGAGTCGGTCACGGTAGATTAACAGTACGAGTGCATTTGATAACTCCTTAACGTTACACTACACTGTACTCTCAATCTTATATTTTTTTCTATTTCATCTTCCATGATGAAAACCTAGTAAGTGTTAATGTGGTACTAGTGGTACAATGTGATATGCAGCAATGACAAAATTGCCAATGCAATATCTCTTTTAGCACTGGAGCCAGAAAAACGCTTCTTTTCCTCCGGTGCTCATGTTCCTAGCAACGGAGCGATTGAATATGCAAGACTTCGTCCAGCAGCACGAAAATCTTTCAAGCAAATCTAAAGTGCTAGGACGTGTGTGTATACATATATGTGTACAGATATATATATTATATACATATATACATATATCGATGAGCGATAAGGCAATGACTTCTGTACGTGTACCAAGTGCTCAGCTTTTCAAACACTCTATAGTATTTATCGAAAACTATTGGCATTTACCAAAAAGCTAACATTGGACAGAATGTGTCTTACGAAGGGTACGACTGATTTAGAACATCAAGAATGTATTGTAGATAAAATACTTTCATAACGAAAGTGATAACGTCTCTATCATGTTTGTACATGAAACATCAAACTATGTTTAAGAAACATTTTCGTAATAAAACTTACAACTAACGCATTTGCTCGCGAAGCCATTACACTAGAAAGAAACATTTCGCAGCAAACGCTCTGGTGTAGACACAACAGCTAATGATTTCAAACCCCTCATTCTGGATAACATGAGTACATGCAATTTCTTGTAAGTATATATTTGCAACTCAGTAACCTAGATAAAGATGTAAAGTATTCAACACATACGATTGCATTACAGTGGGTAGCCGCACCATCGTAACTGGGTTCAGTAAAGTACCCAGCGGCTTACCCAAGTTGAAGGATTCAGTGTTTGCATTAAAAACATCAGCTATGAATGCATATCTAACTGCAGGGTCCAACATGATATCCGCGGCTACGAGCGTCATATAAAAATGCTCTTCGAATGAGCAAGTGAAATCCACTGAACAGCACAGGTGTGGCATAGGACTAATGTAATTTATCAGAGTTCGATTTGTACAACTAATGGGACAATGGAAAGATATGTGCGACATACATGATTCATTAGTAACTCCCATGGATCTCGTATACAATCCATGAACGTTTTTCATGCAGAGCATAACCAATTGTTAGCGTGGCTATACGATACGACAATATATATATATATATACACATATAAATATATACATATGTCAACCACGCATGCATGCGTGAACGTGCTTTCATCTAACTGTATTGAATGTCGAACGTTTATTTCGCCAAAAAACTGCAATCAAATAAGTGGGAAATATACGAGAGGATCTTCAGCGCAACCTTCAACAAGTGAGTCTCACGTCTACTTCAGACATTCTTTAGTATACCCACACCCAAAAAAGACAAGGTTCCCGTAAGCACTGCCTCACCAAAAGCAGTAAAGTGCTCTATGGATAAATGTGTTCTTATATTCTTTATACCAAAGCAACAGGAACGAGTAGCAATTTCACAGATGTTTGCTCAAGTCGTTCAATGAACATGAAGGTAACAGCTCACAACGAGACGGCAACTGATTTGGCCATAATTTGCTGGTCATTACGATCAATTTCATTAAACTTTTTTTAAAGGAGTTCATACCGCGCTAATATATCGTGAAATAAGAACAAAGGTGACTAATAAAACCAACGATTAAAAATGGGAACTCCGGTCAAGTTCTGGAAATAGTTACGACTAAATGCAACAATGCAATCATGATCTAAAGATATAGTAGAAATGTTCGTACAGAGGGACCCATGGCAAGGTTTTGACAGACAGAATTTCACACCTTTTGAGCCGGCTAAGGATTTAGGCTCTCGATATAAGGATCGAATCATGGGAAGCCTAGATAGACTGAGGTGCTCCCTTAACACTTGAATAATGAATAACTTCTGTTGAGATTTGATTTGAAAGCGACTCCATAGCCACGACACTTCTTGCAACTGAATTAACTGTCTTAATGCTTCTTTACTATAGTAAAAGTATGGATAAAAAACTATCGCCTTCTTCGAGAAGTCCACTTACTTTACTTCTGCATAACGTCTATTTTGAGTTACTCACGTGGTAATATTTCATCGTATTTAACAGAAAACGAAACTGGAGATATCTACGATAAGGATCTGGGAACATCTTCATGCACTAGCAATGTAATCGATTAAAGAAATAATTTACATGCCATTAATTTAAGAGTGCTAATTAACGACGCTCAAAGCAAATTTGTTGAAGCATTAAACAAATGAAGAAATACTCGGCAACCTAACATTCTATGCCGCTTTACGGACCACTTTCAACAAATGTAATCCAACTACTCGCTTGAACCCTAGTTCAACGAACACGCCTACCTACCATCACAAAATGTTTCTACTATGAATTAACCCAATAGAGCTGAAAATTTAACTAATGATTTATATTGTTGTCACTCACGCCCTCAAAACTCCGGCGAACTGAGCAGCAGTGAGCAGTTGTTGCTGTTGGTCTGTCGATACTCCATTGTCATTCTCTTCATTGTCGAACTCCGAAAAATATCTGTTGACTCGGTCGACGACTTTAAAGATAAAAATTTTTTCTTGGTGAAACGCTCCAGAAATGTCTATCCTGCTAAAGAAAGAAAAACCACGGCAAGAATAAGTGATACAGATACGAACATAGAAGAAAGCATAGATATAAATACGCTACTCATAGTAAAACAATGTGGGAAAATAATACCTAATTTTCGCCTTAAACACAGACTTTCTAACCTCTAACTGGTAGATGAACGCTCATGGAATTTTGTTATAACACGATCTAAGCATATTAAATTGGCGGCAACAACAACTGTCAAGAGATTACGCAAAACTACATAACCAATACGTTTCGAAATACGTAACGTGTAACACTGTACGGGAATATAAATGCAACAGTGAGGTTTTCAACTTCGCATTCTCGTACATTCTTTAGCCACTTCGCACTTCTTACGCTTTTAACCCCGTTCTCCATCTACTTTACTACAAGCACTCAGTGAAAGTTTCCCATAATCGACCGCTGGAGAACGATTTCACCAACCTAATTTTGATGACAGGTCTGATCTGATGACTATCCACCACTTTTAAATTTAGAACTTTACTTGGACAATATCAAATAAAAAGCCACTTGGTCTTATACTACCACGGAAACAGACAATCCTAACATTAAACCTGCTGCGATGATCCGGTGAGAAATCGGGATCATAGTGTCAAAACGACTAACTATTTAATGCACTACCGAGAGCGCGTTAGCCAACAGGAGTATGAAAATAAGTAGTACTCAATAGTTCTAAAAAGTAAATAATATGTAGAAAAGCACCTAATCAAGAATTTGACCAATGTATTGTACGAAAAAAAAACACACCTGCTTGACGCTGAGAAATACATTGTTGCTGTAGTGACGTCAACATGTTCAATAATGCTAGCAGTGCGCTGAAATGAACGAGCAACTAAAAAAGGGAAGAAAGAACGAATGGTTGAACTAATAGACAGCAAACCTAATCCGCCAACAACACAACCTTAAGATTATAACAGCAACAAGAATAATGGTAACAACAATAATGATAACAATGGTGAATAACAAATAATAAATATTAACAATAGCAACAATAATAATAGCAATGACATCAACAGTAATAAAAGCAATGATAATACTAATAGCAATAATAGCAGCACTGCGTGTGGCGCAGAGGTCAGAGACGCCCTGCAATACACATGGGTTCGATCCCACGCCACAGGCTCACCAAGCCTTCCACCCTTCCATAGTTGGTGAACCGGTACCTGTCTGGCAGGATAGCAGCACTGACTCGATAGACCATCGCTAGTCAAGGTTTAGGCCAGAAATGTATTCAATCACCTCTAACGATGCCTAATGAAGTCGAATGCATGGGGCAACCCTCAGGGATTGATCAATGCCAAGAGCTTAATCTTTTTCTTAATAGCAGTACAGCAGCAACTATAACAACAACAGCAGCACCAGAACTAACCGCTCGTTTTCCAAACGATGACAGAAATACGCAGCTGATGAATGCGAAGGTTGCGATCGTGCAGTAAAGGTTTGTATGTCGGACACTAAAAAAGAGGCTCAATTGATTGCAAGATCAAACATCTAAAAAGTCTTTGGTCAACCTCGACAATTTTATAACGGGTAAAAGCTACAAGCAATATAACTATTAAATATCAACTTTTTAAGCAACCTTCTAGGAAAGATACTAACACTTCCAAATAGTAGAAAATTGAAATACCACGATAAGGAGTCAGCGTGCACATGTGCAGCTTTGCACCTAGATTCAGCTTGTGAGAGATTGTTAAAGTAATCTACGGGTCTCTTCTTCGTTCCTGACTAATACTATCTTCACCAAATCACTACAATGACCCAGCTTGGTTTCATAGAATAACCGATTATAACCTACGTTAGTAGCCCACTGTACGAATGACATTAGTTTCCAATTGTGAGTGTGTTTCATACCTCGATGGCGAAATTAAAACGCAACCAATTCAAGGTTTTCTAGTCAAACAAAGCTCATTTTGTCCTTTTGTGCCATCTCCTGAGTTTCCACCACTTTGCCATCTGTAAGCAAGATAGGTATTGTACCTTTTTGACTGTACAGCTCTTGAGCGGATGATGGTGGAAGATCGTCTGACGTACTGAAAGTCGACATATACCACTGATAAAATTAACACTAATAAAAACGTTGGAAAGCATTACTAGATCGGATTTAAACGGCAATCACAAAACACACTTAGTTGAGTATGTGAAACACGAATTTAAAATTCAGGAAATGTGCGGATCGTTCGGTCCAAATTACTTTCGGAACAGTTACACATTCAAACGAGAATTTCGCAATAAACATGGCCTAAAAGGCAGTTTGCGGTCTGTATTGGTGAAATTGAGAAAATAGTTAATTTTCGGAATAACAGGATGTCTATAAATTCGTACTTGTTCTGTAGTGGTATTCCTTGATTAAGGTGGTACAGGTCGCATGGATCGATAGGCACGTTAAAATCCGACTGATACGGGGATAAGCCGTGACTGTTTGAACCTGTCGGTAGGACCGAGGTTGCATAGGTAGAGAGTGGCAAGGCTGCCGTATGAGAACTGGAACCAGCGCTGCACGAACCGCCACAGAAACTGAGTGATTAACTATGTAAATGTCGCTATCACGAAGACAGTGAGTGGTCACAATAACTACAGAGACTTTGTGAAAGCATCTACAATTCACGCTATTGCGCAAGCGGTAATATTCATTGTTTTATCTAAGGACAAACTCAATTTGCTTCATTAAGAGAGAATGTGTAAACAATATATCAATAGCCAAGGAATAGCTTTTTGGAAATCAAGTGCTAAGCCAAATGTTAAGAGCACTTTTCGTCGACAAGTGCTCTGTGACAAGTAACTTACTTCACGAATACAAGAACTATGCAAAGATTGATAGAAACCACACTCACGAAGACACAGGAGCTGTACCCGCTGCCACATATGTGACGTTACCTCCGTTCTCATCATCGTATCCACTAATATTGGCGGCAAGCGGATGTGAATTGTTGGTTCTCATCTGCACCGAATCTGAAATAGAGGCTTTGTATCGCCTGTGTCATATGTAATATCAATCACAAAGACAACATGAGAATCTCCATTCGTTCCTGCCGTTAGCTTGGGGAACATGAAGAGAACATACTGCACTCTCTAGAACTGTAAGTGGCGTTTATCTGCTAGATTTGATGCCAAACCGCTCCTATATACATCCACGTTGCCATATTGCATGTTTTTGCCAAATCAGTGCGTCGCAAGCAATTCGCATGCATGTATACACACTGATGAAAGTATGATTACTTGATACTTCAACTGCCCATCCTCACTGGTGGTGCGGCTCCCAGCATAATAACCATTTTCGGAGATTTGCTGGTTAAGCCATTGTGGTTCTCTGGAATCCCGAGGACAGATTGGCCAAAGTTCGCCCCAGGTCGTCACCACGACAGGCAGTCGCAGCTTTTGTGGATCAGAGGGAGATTTGCCACCACGCGACTTTGATACTAGGACGGTGGTGGAACCTGGTATTGGTTTGAAGATGAAAGTACACACGGAAACAGTTGCACATACTCAAAAAAGGCAAAGCTGGTGCAACATAGTCGGAAAGCGTATTGTCTGAATCAATCTGCATTTGAAAGCAAGTGCACGGTTGTCTCTGCTATGGTTTTAACGCTTTTTTAGTCATCTACTGATGTGCGCAACACGACTAACCGGTACCCGTCTAAGGTTGACCTCTAGAAGTATTCATCATATTTATGGAACAGATTTGTGATTTCGCTGAAGCATGGAATGTGTTTCCTGCACATATAAGCTGATCAAATATGAAAAACGATGTATACTTTCTCCATTTGTATAATATATTTGAATTGGTTTCACTGATACTGGTGCATGAAGAATTGCTTAAATTAGCAGAAAGGTAAGCCTGTTATCGTAAGTAGCAATTGGTGTGTATCATAGGGCTATGGACGATCGCTCATAGACAGCCACACGCAATAAAGCAATTTCAGAAAGTGCCTGACTCAAATCAATGCACCCGTGTTCAGTCCGCGCGGCTCTGAACGCGATGAAGTCGCACGTTAACCACCACGAGCATTTGTAAACTTATCGATAAATAGAATATTCATTATCCATGCTGAGGTTAAACCAAAGTCGACGTTGAAAGTAATCAGCATTCCTTAGTGGAATCAAATTTTGCCAGGATATTACCGATGAACAAAGTGCAGTTTTTTTTGCATGCTGCTGTCACTAAATCCAGACCATGAAAGGAGGCAAGAGCGGTATGGTGTGGGGCACCGCATGTGCGATAATCATAAAATATAGGACAACGAAGCTTAAAAATCCATTGAATACCACAATAAAAAGTAACAACCGCATTGGAAAAGTTTGAACTGTAAAAAGGTGCGAACCAGACTCTTCGCACTGTCTGTTCTTGTATCCAGAAACCTTATGCTCACGATTAATCGATGATCGTGAACGATTGGAACCCAGCGACATATTGCTTCCCGACCACGAGTTTTGTCGTCTGTAAGTAGCTAGGTCCGGCAAGTTATAGACGAATGACTACAACACCATTTAACACGAATTAGAAAAAGTAATATGCATAGAATATTAAGTAATTGTGCTGGTTAGTTCTCTTCAATTAAATAGTGGGTAATTCAAGGGAAGTGTAGCTTTTATTGCAGAGAGAATTTCAGCGAGAATTACAATGAAGAAAGTGTATAAAGAACTGAGTGCTACGGATATTGATCACCGTGTGGTACAAAACAACAGAAAATCCTAGAAAGAGCATAATCGTTGAAAAAACATACTAAACCAAGGAAAATACTTACAAAGCACCTTCTGCAGCATGTGGGTTATGCATCATATTGTCATATTGGCTGTGTTGATGCATTCGGTACAAGTCGATATCACTGTGCTGATGCCGCGATCGACGAACGTGGTCATGAACTTAACCAAATTCTTGAGAACAACTTAAAATTTTCAGTAAACAAACAGTACTACCTTTATTTTAAGGTCGTTTATAACTTTCCTTTCAAAAGTTTTCATATTTTAACAACGTTTCAACGACGCATGTATGGGGAAACCAGCCACAGTTTTTAACATAATCGATTTCTATGTTAAGCCACTCATTTTCTGCATACGTAAATTCAGTTCAGAGTAAAAATTATTAGAACAATTCAGTTAATGGTTAAGCCTAATGGATAACAAATATGTCTAATACAAAGTCCGCAACACATAAACCACTTAAAATGGATATAGTGTCAACAGGAGCGCGTGTAGCGCAGTGGTCGAAGGCGCCCTGCAACACATGGAATTGACTTCTGTATCCCAGGCTCACCAAGCCCTCCATCCTTCCGGGGTAGGAAAACTGGTACCAGACTTTTTTGGGAGGATAGCAGCCCTGGTTCGATACATCGATAGGCCACCGCGAGTCATTGTATAGGCCAGATATGCATTCAATCACCTCTAACGATGCTTATTAAAGTCGAATGCAAGGCGCATCTCTCAGGGATTGATCAACGGAGAGTGTTTTATCGTTTAGCTTTATCATGTCAACATGAAGCTGTTGACGTATGAGTTACTGGAAACACGGCTGATAATTTACTCTAAAACTTCCAAAGGTTGCACTTTTCAAGTATTTTCTTTTATTTCGAGGGCTCGGGAAATGAAATATAGAGTGCAAAAATGCAAAAATCACTTATCCATGAGAATTTTAAAAGCTATGACTAATTCTGAGTGAGGAATGAGGAGAACTGAGCACAAATTCCTCTGGAATTGCTCACTACCACGATTTACAGTCCGCGAAATGTACTGCCGATGAATCTCCTCTCTGCAGATCATATTGCAGAGATAGAGTCCCTGCAGATGTACTGAGACATTTCTCATAGTTTCGTATTGATACTTACTTGTATATTTGGATGGACCGTCTTCACTGGTTGTGCGAGCACCCCTTTTCGGAGTTTTCCTGGTTTAGACATTGTGGTTCCCTGCAATCCCGAGGTCAACCTAGCCAATATCTGCCCCAGGTCGTCACCACCTCGGGCAGTCGCGCCCTTTAGATCAGAGGGTGATTTGCCACCTTGCAACTAGTTTTGATACCAGGACGGTAGTAGGTCCTGGTAATGGTTTACTCTTAGCTAGTCTTCCTGATGAAAATGCCGGACTCCTTCTCAGCTTGGGAGACCCTGGTGTGGAGATGAATCCCCTTGCTATACATTGCAGCCCGACACACAGGAACACCTCTCAACCACGATGAGGCGGTGAACCGTTGGGAGGTATTCGTACTGATACTAAACAATTAATAAAAAATTAGTTTGTTCTGGAGCTAAATATCGATTTGATCCACTTAAAAACACGAGTGGATGTTAAACGTAGACAAAATTCTTAAACATTTACATAATACAACCACAACGTTGCTGAGATATTTGCAAAACTCTGGACCGCAGGTGTCTATGGTGGGGAACGAACGCGCTATTATCCTTTCCGGGGAGTAACGCGTTCACCACCACACCATGCTGGGTTCTATGCCGAATTGCGCTCCCCAGATCAACCCCGCTGATGGGTGATTGCTGTGGCAAAAAGATCGATAGAAATAGCTGAGAGACGTGCGAAACAAAGGACCCGCATGGTGTGGTGGTGAACGCGTTACTCCCCGGAAAGGACAATAGCGCGTTCGTTCCCCACCATAGACACCTGCGGTCCAGAGTTTTGCAAATATCTCAGCAACGTTGTGGTTGTATTTCGCTTACTTAGTAACCTGCCATGAAAATTATAGAAGGCAGAAAACAAAACGTTAAACATTTACATAATAGTTTGGAAACTACACAAATAAGAAGAAAATTGATCCCTTGCGTGTAAAAGACTCACAAGAATAACAACTGCCCCGCCTATATCGCGAATTCGTGAATGAACCACGAGTTGAAGAGGAAATACCTCTAACTGAATATCTGCTATCTATAAGAAATTCAATTACATGGGAAAATTTGACCAAACAGTAAAGGTCTAACCACCTGGAGGAAATTCACCGGTGTCAAAATTAGTAGTTACTTGTCAATCAATACAAAAAACACACCTCTATTACTATGGTCCCTATATTCAGGTTGCCTATAACGATGCATGCATGTGTGACTTGTAGAGACGGATCCGGATCCTAAACGTTTCAGATTTACGACGTTATCAAAATCATCGCAAAATCACACAAATATCTTGATGATTAAAATACTACTTATCATGTCATTTATTACCAGCATAAGCAGCAAACAAGCCGACATTTCTAGTGTTTTCAGCGTTTTCATTTTCATATTGATAGCGAATTTTAAGTAATCTAAAACAATTCAAAACACTGACTTTCTACATACTTCGGCATAAACAATCGATAAATTTATTTACATGTTCTTATGAACTGATCTTCTCGAGCTGATACCAGCTTGGGGTATAAGCTGTCGTGGTTGTTGTTGTTGTTGTTCTTGTCGGTGGTGGTCGATGGCTGTTTCAGCGATCTCGCCTTCCTCAGAGGCGTGATGTTGCGAGTGGAGCTCCCAGAGTCGACTCATCCATCGACCGACAACAACAACAACAACAACAACAGCTACAACTTATACTAATATCGTATCAGTCCAAAAGATCAGTTCACAAGAACATGTAAATAAATAATCTAAAGTAGTAGGTCTAAAAAGAAGATATGCTGCTCACCAGTGGCTTCTAGTGCTAAATGTCCACTGAACTGTCTATCAGTAGGTTTTAACTCACAGCTGTCAATAAGTAAGTGAGCAACGTCCTCATCATCGCATACGAACTTCACGAAATCTTTTGTAGCTGTTTCATACATATAGGTAAAAAGGAAAGTTCGTTCTCACATCTAGTTCTTTTTACTTACTATTCTGCTACTATCCTTTTAATGGTTCACCGCCTCATCCTGGTTAGGTGTTCCTGGGTGCCGGGGTGCGATATACAGCGGGACGATTCATCTCTCTCGCAGGGTCTCCCAAGCTTAGAAGGGGTATGGCTTTTCCATCAGGAAGCCCAGCTAAGATTAAACTAATACCAGGATCCACTACCGTCCTGGTATCAAACTAGTCGCATGGCAAATCTCCGTCTGATCCACAAGGGCTGCGGCTGTCTGTGATGCTGACGAATTGGGGCAGACTGACTAGGCTAACCCTGAGACCTCAGGAAAACACAACAGCTAAACCAGCAAAAGTCAGAAAAATGGAGATTATCCTGGGGTCCGCACAATCAATGAGGACGAGCCGTCCAAGTATCCAAGTATTCTACTACTACTACTGCTACTCTTTACTCTTCCAACTACGCATTTTATTTCTTACTCTAATGCCCTTTTTATCGAGAAAAACCTAGTACAGTGAGACAATTGGATTGAGTTGGCAGAGCAGAAGTACTGAAAACATGTATGAAAACGCATAAAATTAAGATGAGAACTCAAACGGTGCCTTAAAAACTGCATTCAGTAAGGTGCGATAGTTCCTATTTAGTAACAGTCCAGGCGAAACACAGTGTAGCGGAGTAACATTGAAGCAATGGTGCAAGGAAAACTGTATTCAGAAGAGTTGAAGATGTTAGAATAGGTGATTGCTCGGAACTGGTTCTTGATCTGATGACTGTGTGGGTTAGGCCCAGACCGGCCAACATCTGATGATTGTGTGGATCAGAGCAAGACCGATCAACGTCTCCAATGCTTCTCATAGATATTCTCAACATCCTAAGTACATGAAAGTGATCTACTTTCGCTTGTGTCTGTCTCTACTACGACTTCACAAACTCCACACTTCAAAACAAAATCGCATTTTGAACAGCACCAATCTTCCCCTCATTCTGACCAACTAACGAAAGGCTTGAAAAAAATTTGTTTGCAAACCCGCAGTAGAAGCATCGCTACAGTTATCACAGTTTTCCACGGACTTCCACGACGAAGAACGATGCATTACAGTACCTAAAGAATGGTTCAAAGATGCACACTATTAAGGAAATTGGTGAACCTCTATGAGTGACGAAATCACGTGTAAAGATCAGTATTGGCGATTGCAAGTGCAGCGATCCTAAAAGTGACCCGTGCTGTGACTTCTGGGACATCTTAACATGTAGGTCTCATAAGTTTGAACTTAGTTTCAGCGCTTGAAAATAGAGGGTTCACAACACAGAACTCATAATATCTCTAAAGGATAGAAAGACAAGAACAAAGTGTATGTGGAAAGCCATAGAAATCTATGACAATCACACTTTCTACGTCAGGAACATAACAGCTAACATTCATAGACACATAAATCCAGTAATCCAGAAAATAGTCGGCGATCTGCTTAGTCGGACAAGATCCGGCAAACACTGCTGAGGAAGAGACGGCGCGACTGACAGCCGACCGCCTTCATAGTTAGTTCATTTACAGAACTCCACATCGCATACAGTACCCGGCATCGAAAAAAAAATCGAAATCAGTTCATCGACAATGTTTGCCATATTTTAGTATGCTTGCTTTTAACTACTTCTTTCGTTCTAATTAGTACCGCATTCTACAATCGACCAATACGTATTAATAGTTCATGAGATGGGAATTTCTAATAAGCACTTCTAGTTTAGTGGAAGGTCAAAGTGATCGACATGTGATCTCGCGGTAGGTTAAAAGTACTGTTTAGCAGTTCGCATGCTAGGTATAGAGAGTATTTCTCGTGAAATATTCTCTATCTTTCACTTCCATATCTCTTTTACTACTCAAGTATTCGTATTTATTGTTCCTGTCACGTAACCCCCTCTCAACGGTTTACCGCCTCATCGTGGACCGGAGGTGTTCTTAGGTATCGGGCTATGATGTAGAGCGGGAGGATTCATCCCTCTAGCAGGGTTTTCCAAGCTGAGAAGGAGTTCGGCGTTTTCATCAGGAAGCCCGTGATGACCTGGGGCAAACTTTGGCTAGGCTGACCTTGAGACTCCAAGGAACCACATTGGCTAAACCAGTACAACTCCGAAAAAATCGAAATTGTGCTGAGTCAGCACAACCAGGGAAGAAAGGCCATTTGCGTATCCAAGTAAGTATTAGCTTGTCAATTACCGACTTCTGCAGGATGGATTATCCGTTGAGAAACAATTTATTATAATCCAAGTCAAATCAGAAACAACCGTCCTGTACAGAAGAATGCTGCCGAATGAGGTTGCCTAATTCGAGAGATGGTCCACTGAAAAAGATTATATTCAATGCGGAGGAAAATGCCATATCGAGAAGACGAACGACTGCAGACCATCGAGAAGATGAACGACTGCGGACCCATATCTTTCAGCTTTCTTTCAGTTCCTGGGCGTCGGATTTCAATGTACACGGAGGGGGATTTCCATTCACGTGGCAGGGTCTCTCAAGCTGACAAGGAGTCTGGTGTTTCCATCAGAAAGCCTAGCTTAGAGTAAGCCAATACCAGGATCCACCACTGTCTTGGGATCAAAGCCGCATGGTGGCAAATCTTCCTCTGATCCACAAGAGCGACGACTGCCTGTCATGGTGACGACCTGTGGCAGACTTTGGCCAGGTTAAACTCGGGATTCCAGGGAACTACAATGGCCTAGACAGCACATCTCCGAAAAAATGGAGATTATGCTGGGGTCCGCACAGCCAGTGAGGACGGGCCATTTAAGTATCAAGTAGTATATCCTTTGGCCGGGGAGAAAATTAAAATAAAGGACACTTGCCAATAATTGACCACTATTTCCATTTATTCGAAGCCTACTGCAACTAATGTTCACCGATTTCATTTTCATGAACGTCTTGTACAGCTGCACGAATTGCACGAATGTTGTCAAACCGTGCGTATCACCGCAGCATTACAGAGAAAGTACTTCCACGAAAAGTCGGAACCTACGCGTGTCTTTCAGTGGACCGAATTTTAAATGGTATTTTAAAGGGTCCTGGAAGATTAGCAGAGTTGTATGTACTGGACACGAGGCGCGCCATGATCCTCGGCGCCGATCAATATTTATTTCTAATTCATCGACTATCTAATGAATTAATGAGTATCCTACCAAGTGTAGATCCTCAGCAGATTCATACTTTGTTGCAAAATTAATATTTAGTAGTTGGATGGCCATAAAGTGTGGAAACCAAATTAACTTTACGTATTTTCATGGTGAAGTTTCGAAGAATGTTAAAACAAAGCTGTAGTGAATGTAGGTGGTCGTTACATGAAGGATAAAGGATAAAGCTCTAGGCACTGATCAATCCTTGTGGGATGCGCCATGCATTCGACTTCATTAAACACCGTTTGGAGGTGATTGAATGCATATCTGACCTTTACAATGACTCGCGGTGGCCTGCCGTTGTATCGAGTCAGTGCTGCTATCCTCCCAGACAAGTCCTACACCAATTTTCCGACCCTGGAGGGATAGAAAGCTTGGTGGCTATTGGCGCGGAGATCGATCCCACATGCGTTTTGCAGGGCGCCTCCTACCACTGCGCCACACGCCCCACAGGTCGTGGCTTAGTACAGTAAGGTATCCATAGTACCACATACAAAAGGAATAAGACAACACAGTCTGCATAAATTTTATTTGCTAAGCAGAAATATTTAATAGTAGAATACTTGTTGTCATTTATGAGTAATTAAGAGCATTTCGATCTATGATATTAACAGCATTCGGAAGATTTATCGTCTGAAATAACAGTGGGTATAAGGAGTACTGAAGGTATCGTAATCTCAATACAAACAAAAATCTCAACTACAACATCAATTCGGGATATCACCTTACCCATATCGTGACACATCCGGCGTTGATTCTTGCACAGCTTGAACCCATGCTTCCATAAGATTCACTTTTTCGCGAAGAAAACGATTAACGTCATCCCACATTTTTCGCTCGCAAAATATACCCTGCATGGATTCTTTATGAGATACAACTCAATAAGTTAATGATTACTCGAGAGTATCACATATACGATCTGTAATCCCGTTAACTTAAGAATACATTAACTAAGTCTAGCAGTAACAAGTTTCACTCGGCTCCTAATCAACGAGAGGTGCACTGCTCGCTCAAGGGACACGAACAGCATCGCAGGTTTTGTATCATGCCTTGTTCACTGCTTATGGGTAGGTGCCATTCATTGGTAGCTGGCTGCAGATGGTGTAGCATAGATTTACTCTGAGCTTGACTTCGGAATGGAAATGTAGGACTTCTCGGCTTGGGTGATCTTGTGGTGTGGAGAGAAAAGATAAATCTCCACTGTATGCCATAGTTCTAACGACCTTTCAACTCCTTTCCTCAGTGACGATGAGGCGTTAAAGCACTGAGATGAGGATGCACTCAAGAGGAAAGCGGACGATAAATATTTGGCTGAGTAGATGGAATGATCAGCCACCATCTTCGAGAGAGGAGATCCTAAACGGTCATATGTTCCATAGGACAGATAGTCATCGGCAATGTTATGCTACACCTAGATATTTACATCAGATGAACATGTTAGGTGTCTTTTAGTATTTTTGAATAAAATAACAGCACTGTCTCTGACAAATTCAGGTTTAGAATTTTACTAGAATGAGCAAAATTTGTTATGCGTGACATCAATAGGGAAACATAGGCATCATACTAAGTGACTTAAAGTCTCATCGTGACTTGAGTATGCTCATCGATTTTTCATGTACATTAGGGTGCTTATACCACACTGTAAGGAAGGAGTTCAACATCTGCATACGAAACCCCGGAGTCCGGTAAGTTGGCCGCGGTTGTCTTTTCGACAAGAGAAGAACGATGAAAGAAAGTATCATATCGAAAGCGTGGAGTTTTGTTCGTCTTGGAAGAACGAAGCCTACGTGAGTTATTCGATGGTTAACGAGATATCACCTCTTTTTATTTACTGCCTATTACAACTTCTCACAGCAGGGTATTATGTAACTATTATCAGGTAACCACAATGGTGCTGAGATACTTGCAAAACTCCGGCCCGCAGGTGTATGCAGTGGAGAACGAACACGGCATTACCATTCCCAGGGGTTAATGAGTTCACTACCACACCATGCGCATCCTTCTTTTCGCCCTCCTCCCAGCTAGCTCTGATCCCTTTTTGATTTTGATTTTAACAGTCCCCTTGACGGGTGGTTGCTGGTAGCACTGGTAGGTAGAAAATTGACAAAGAGAATGGCGAGACGAATGATACGCATAGTGTGGTGGTGAACGTGTTAGCCCTCGGAAAGGGTAATAGCACGTTCGCCCGCACTGCAGACACCTGCTGTTCAGAGTTTTTCAAATATTTCACCACCATTGTGGTTAACAAGGTATTAGAGACAAACAGATAATTAGCTCTCTCAACTGACTTGATGACTAGCGGAGATAATGAACAGTTCACAATTGGCGATTCTTTCCTTCATTATTAAGCCATGTTGATGATGAACAATAGCGTCCTGGTCACCATGACAAACAAGTGTTGGGCAGCGAATATTTTGTGCTTTTTCGTAGCTGAAAAATAGACTGTAACCAGTTATGAATGAACTACTGCTACGGTTTTCGATGAAATTTCTAAGAAAACTCACACAGTGGCTTAAAAGTTTTGAGCGATTTAAATGTTAAACTTAGTCCTCTAGCGTCTGGACTTAGTCGTAGATTGCAAACTATATGGCAATAAAGTAAATATGGGAGTGATAATTGGAGCCCGCGTGCTCTTAACGTCGTTACAGTCAACAACAACTATTGTAAGGAGCAAGAACGACTGAGTAACGCAACAAATTGCTCAGCGAATTCATCACAGAAAGCAAACCAGGTCGCTACTTCGATAAATCAACGAAGCTGGAAATCACTGCGTTGCTTCGGAGAAATTAGGAAGAATTTCATCTGCAGTAAGGATAAGTACGAGGGATAGTAGCACTAACAGCGGGCGACACATTACCGGCATATCGCTGAAGATTCGTGTGCTGAGTGACCAGATAAAGGAAAGAACTTCTACAGTGAAGTGATAGACGACGCAGTGAAGAAAAAACGTATTGTGGTCAATTAAAGGAGCGATGTCGTTATGTATTTTGTTCACACAAGCGACTCATTTCATACCACTTGTTTACTTTCCACATTTCATGCATTTCCGTTCATAACTCTAGGGTAGCCGCAGTAACATACTTGGTAGGAAATAACAATTAATAGTAAAATAGCACTCAACAACTTCTCATCGAACACAACAACCCGTAGTTGAGCAACTATCGTCAATATGAAACCGATTATCAACTTGCATGAGCTAACTATTTCATAAAGGCGAGTGTAGCTTAGCAGTTGAAATTCTCCAGCAATACAAACATGACCACCGCTGGCTACTCCTATGCACAAGACTGACAAAGTCGTTCATCCCTCTGAGGCCGGTAAATTGGCACCGCACTTATCTGGGTAGGTAAAAATACTGATCTGACACATCGTTTAGCGCTTCAAAGTTACTGTATAGGCCATTACGTAGGCAGTTCAAGAACACCGAACCACAACCAACTCCCGGAGAGATGGAACGTTTGGTGGGCCATGGGCGCCGAGATCGATTCCACGTGTGTGCTGCAAGGTACCTCCGACCACTTTGCTACATGCGACAAGTAATGCTAAGTTTTGTATTTGAAAGGGTAACTGCAGGTTCAATTTGGCCTGGGGACCAAGTTTCACAGCTATTTCACCGCTACGCTGGTTTTATTTCACAACACCCATCCTTTTGTGCTTTATCTGTTTAGTGTTTGTTATCATTTTCTTCATCTACATATTTTTCTAGCCTGGATGTATACAGCAGGTATTAGTTACTGTCACTGACAATACAATTCGTATATTCACCTCTGAAACATATCCATGCAAGACGATGCGCTAACGTGCGGTCGTCGAAGAATCACACGCCATAGTGATGTGAACGGAGCTATCAGAACCATTGCACCGAGCTGAAAATGTTCAAAAAAAAAACGTATAGGGGCTAACACGGGGTGAACAGGCTACGCAAAACCATTACAATCCGTTATACGCTAAGAAGTAGCGAATTCCCAGCTACAGACTACTGACTGCGAATAGCAAATCTGTTGATATGAGGGGCTTTTAGGTAGAACCGAAACCAGACATTTTAATCAGACTAGTTCAAACAATAAAAATACTGACATCCGGTGTTATAGAAGCAATATGAACCATGGCTGCCGTTCCTAAGCTGAATCCGATCAATATAATATCTTTCGGTTGATATTTCAAATCCGTGACGGCGTATCTAAAACCAACCAAATCAACAGAAGGGAAATTCGGATGCTATCGGCATCTTAGTACAGTCGTTTGTTGATCCTCGTACTTTTGGGAACAGAGTGAGAAAGAAGGAGAATAGAAGAACTGCAAAATGCCTCCGCAGAAATATTTTTGTTAGAGCAAAAAGCAAAAGCAGAAGGACAATCATAGTTCAGATCGATCGACACTTGTGGTCGTCATAGACGATCGTGAGTCGCAGTCACATATTTCTTCCCACCTATGTTACAAGAATCCACGTCGTCAGCTTCACACCGTGGATGGCGAACACAGTTATCTATTTGCAATCTGATCAATCACTTATAGGTTATCACCACTTATTCAACTGCATGATACAATCTACCCACTTGTACACTCTTTCAACGGTATCGTACACTGTCTTCTCTGTAGAATTTCCTTCGCTAACTCCATAGCCAGCATAATCGAACACCAATAAGTCGCACTTCAGAAAATCTGCTATGTCGACCTGCAAGGGATTCCCGTTTACGATAAAAACAAAAGATGTCACAGGGTTTATAGGCATCCAAAAAAATATTAGAGCAGTTTTTCACAAGTGTTCTGACTAGGCTTGTACTAATGCGAAGTACACGAGTTTCACTGGTGATTCTCCAATTTTGAGATTCTCTTCAGATTTCATAATCGATCAAGGTCAAGGTTAAAAAAGTTTCTATTTAAAAGGCGATCACTATAATAGAGGAGATTTTTATGCCCAGGTAAAATTAGGTTTCATTGATTTACTGTGTCGACTTGGCAACATGAGTTCCTCTTATCAAACTAGAATGCTTATTATCCTAGCAAGGCCTTTTAAGGTGAAGTGGTGTTCAAAAATACTACCCGAAAGCCAACTAAGGTTTAAACCTATGTCAAAAAATGTTGCCGTGGTTGAAGCAAGTTAGTTCGAAGGCGGTAGTCCTCCAATCTTGCATTGTCGACGACAGCAATGTGTCGACGTACTGGTACGATTTCGGCATTCGCAACCCCAAGGTGAAGAATGAACACTGCCTTAACCAATGAAATCCTATTCAAACGAAAAATTGTTACAGAACTATACTGTTCATAAAAATAGAGTTGCATAGACATACTTTTTCAATTTTCACGAACCAATATCACAAATCCTCTCAACGGTTTCGCACCTCTTGGTAGTTGGGAGGTGTTCCTGGGTATCGGGCTGCGAGGATTCATTCCCGCAGCAGTGTCTCCCAAGCTTAAAAGGAGTCCGGTGTTTCCATCAAGAAGTCTAGTTAAGAGTAAACCAATACCAGAATCCACCTTCGTGCTGATATCGATCTAGTCACACGGTGGCAAATTTACCTCTGATCCACAAGTGTGGCAGCTGCTTGTGGTGGTGACGACCTGGACCAGACTTTGGTTAGATCGACCTCGAGACTCTAGGGAACCACAGTGGCTAAACCAGCAAAATACCGAAAAAATGGAGATTATGCTGAGGCGCACACAAGCAATGAGGACGGGCTATCCAAGTAGCGAAGTAAAGGGTAATGTCACATATTCTGGATACCAAATCTTCCCCCATTCGGTTCATTTTCTCCCATCTACGAATGTCTTTGAATTTGTATGTAGGTTCGATTGCCACTTCAAGAATTTGTTTTCTTAAAGAATGCCGTTGACTGCTGGTCGAGCTGGTTCTCCTTGCAATCCTGAGGTGGTTCTGCCGGAGCGTTCTAGGATCTTGGCTTAGCACACTCACTGGGCTTTGACGACCGAAGAGAGCTTCTACCATACAAGTATGCCACCAGCTTGTCAACCGTGCAGGGACAAATGCGTGGTAGGCTTGGAGTGGGATTAAACTAACGACCATACATGTGTGCTGCACAGTAGCTTTAAACATTGCGCTTTGAGCGCTTCCGGGTCTAGACAATCTGGAATCTTAGGTCGTTTTTCTTAATAAATTTTCTTTGGTTCTCTCGTTCTTGAGGTGTAGAGTGATTACGCGAAAACTACTGTGTACTTGATAGTTTACCTTTATACGACGAACTAAATACGAAAAGATTAAGATTGTTGAAAAATTACAAGCAAACGACGTCAAAGAATTAGCAAAGAACTGACAAAATTCGGATCCATAAGCATGCAACATCCGATGTCGGAACTGTTTGGTTGCGCAAATATTATCAAATGTGGAGAACGAGTCCTGAAATCGTTACCCTGGAAACCCAGGGAACCAATAGCTCAATTGTTATACTCTTAGTTTATTGTGAAAATTCAGTGAACCTTCGACTTCCTGTTCTTCTTAGCCATTTCTCCGTTTGTTCGCACATCACTTCCATTGCACAAATCCGCAACTCTTCGTAGACATTTAGAATGACTGGCTAAAATTCAGTTATGGTGAGTGGTGTGGATTCCATAGTTTGGGAAAATTTGTATCAGTTAATACGATGAGATGTGATACTGACGAAGGTATAGGTCTCTTAGCTCTGTTAGCCAACCACAGCAGAATCATTGCGACCCAAGTAATATAAGATCGCGGCAATGAAGGCGACTGCGGTCCACGGTAACCACGTCGAGAACGATACAGACATAAATGATGAACATCTACTATACGATTTTTGAGAAGCATATAAAAGTGTTCATTTACTCCTAGTTTGTTCCGCGGAGACTGCAGCGGTTGGAGGTTCTCTGCGATATGCACTGGGTCAGTCGCTGGTTCGAGCCCGCATCTCGGTCTCACCAAGCCCTCAATCCCTTCGAGGTCAGCAAATTGGACCAAACTAGTCCAGAAGGACAAAAAGACTGAGTTAATACATTGGTTCAACCAACTATACGATGCATGATGAAGTCGAAAACACGGCGCATCACTCAGGGTAGCAGTGGTGAACGCTTATATGCATTAATCCATTTTCGCTCGTATATTTGTAGAGCTTTCAAAGCCTTAACGCCTCCTGATGACAGCAAGAAAGTTTCCACACTGTTGAATTGCACAGCCTTTCGAAACCTCACTATCCGTCGAACCAAGAATGTATTCCATTCATGCAAGGGTACAGATTTTTTGCTGCCTATCCGGCCAGTTTATTTCTTAGTTGACAAAATCGTTTTTAAGGAACAAAAGACAATCATTACCGTATCAGCTTTTTTATTTACTACCTATTGTTATTTTTCACTCCAGGGTATCACGTGAAATTCAACCACTATGATGTTGAGATAATTGTAAGAGTCCGAACTGCAGGTGTACACAGTGTAGATCGAACCCTCTACTACCCTTTCCGGATGCTAACGTGTTCACCACCCGTTGATGAGTGATTGCTGATGGCCGCTTTAGGTAGAAAACTGGCTGAAAGAAAAACGAAACGAACGATATGCATGGTGTGGTGGTAAACACCTTAGCCTCCAGATAGGGTAAAAGCGGGTTCGATTCCGACCGCAGACACCTGCTTTACTTTTGCCCACGATCCACCAGTGTCCTCAGAATCCAGAAAACGTTAAACGGCGCAAACGGTTATATATAAAGAAGTATGGATGGCAGATGAACTTCGATGATATGAGACTTCCAAAAAAATTAACTAGGAATCGATCTACGTTCTGATTCGCTTCATGAAACAGTGATGTTGAAGATATCGGATGACTTACGAAATTGACCGCCATTTTTTTCGAGTGCAAAGACGGTTTCTCTCAACGGCTTACTGCCTCATCGTGGCTGCAAGGTGACCTGGGTGGCGGACTGCGATGTACAGCGCAGGGATTCGTCTCCCCGGCAAAGTCTCCCAAGCTAAGAAGGAGTCCGGCGTTTCCATCAGGAAGTCTAGCTAAGAGTAAACCATTACCAGGATCCGCCAACACGCAGGTATCAAAGTCGCATGATGGCAAATCTCCCTCTGATCCACAAGGGCGGCGACTGCCTGTGGTGGCGATTACAGACTTTGCCCTGGTTGACCTCAGGACTCCGGGGAACCACAATGGCCTAACCAGCAAAATTCTAAAGCAGTGGAAATTATGCTCGAACACATCTATTGAGGATGAGCCATCCAAATACCCAAGTATCCAAGTACAAAGACGGTTGATTTCCGCAGTAGTTTTTCGTTTCTTTTTTCGTCTTTTTTGAATTAGGAAAAAGAGGTCGTTGGGGTAAGTAGCACTGCTTTGTACCCACGAGACAGCTTTTGAGTGGAATTCGTATTGTGAATATTTAAGGTAAACAATCCTGTTCCTCCCGTGAAAAAATTTTGGTTCACATGCTGTTAAAGGGAAAGTTTAATGATTCTGAATAAACTAGACTTTTATTCATTGATAAGCTAATACGCGGTTGATAGAAAGAAGAACCTTATTCGATTAACGTTTCGGCGTTTTCATCTTCATCAGAGACGGATTGATTTGAGTTGACTGCCTTCCGTTCTTCCTTTTTCCGATGTGGGTCTTCGTGATCGCATGTAGTGAAGGAATCTCACGCAGCAGTGCACTTTTAGACTGACCCAAATCGCAACAAGGAAGGACTGTGGACAATTGATCAACTCAGCCCTGAAGAATGAGAAGATACCGAAACGTTAGCAGAATCGAACTTTTTTCTAACCAGCTTCGTCTTAACTTGTCAGTGAAAAGCCCATGTTGATCGGCCATACTGAGAGTAGAGGAAAGTGGGTTTTTGAAACTAGCCTTTATTTTCGTCCTTATTTATGCCGTACTGGGAGCGGATAGCACAGTGGTAGCGACGCCCATCATCATGGGCATTGTGCTAGTTGAATTCCGCTCAGGGCCAACCAAGCCTCTCATCGCTCTGGGGTCGGGAAATTGGCACCAAACTTGTTTGGGAAAAAAATCACTCTCTGCAATCCAGTTGGGAACGCTCCAGGCCGGCACTCCAAGGAGAATTGGTCGACCAGCATTCTACGACATTCAAGATAAAATGAAAATCGTCAAGCAGCAACCGAAGGCACACGTGAAATTGGAAGACCTTCGTGGACAATGCGAATGCGAGGAAACGAATCGAATATGGGAAGTGCTGGGATCCACACAGTTAATGTGAAGACGGGTCAAATAAAATAAAAAAATTAAAAATATTCGTCGTTTTCTCTCTCAGCAATCGCGAGGTCGTTAAACAGCATACGTTTACTTCCATACAATAACACACATACAACACAATCGTAGCTGACGTTTCGGCAGAATCGCCTTCTTCAGAGTCATCAAGCATTTGCGACTGTGAGCGGCTGTTCTTCCTCGGTGGAAGACAAGTGAAAAAGGCGGCTCTGAAGAAGGTGATTCTGCCGAAACCTCAGCTACGATTGTGTTGTATGTGTGTTATTGTATGGAAGTAAACGTATGCTGTTTAACAACCTCGCGATTGCTGAGTGTGGAAACGACGAAGTCATAATTCAGTGGCGAGGTTAAAAGAAAGTTGATTCTGGGTATTAAAAGAAATATGCCGTATTACCTTACATCGAAGAATATGGTAGTAGATGTCAATCGCTTTCACACGTGATCGCAGTAAATGTGGTAGACAAATCTGTAAATCTTCAACACCATCTGCCTCTCTGGCACTGAAGAAAACGCGACGTTGGTCTCTCTAGAATAAACATTTTCGTCTTTGACTCCATCATTTCATAGCATGAACGATTGCCATTCGAAAACTTGTGGATCTGGTCTTTGCATCCACGATAACATAAAGTTTTTTTAGCACGCTTTTTTCTACTGAGAGTGACTCGCTTGCTCTACGAGCACGAACAAGCTGACCGTAGGCACAGAATTCGTTTTAAAGTTAGGATTAACCATGTAAGCTTTAGATTTACCTTTCCGCCAACCAAATAATAGTACTCTCCACGTGGTGGAGCCCGAAATGCTATTTTTTTTATGACCCACGGTGGCCATGGAGGGCATAGAATGTACATAAGACCAGCGATAGCATGCACAATTTTCCTCAGCATTTTAAACAATCGTGGTCGACGATCATGCTAGAAAAGAAGTTTCTAGGGATAAATATATGAATGGGATTCTTTAGAGACGTTCCGATCGCTCGAACTACGCTGGAGTACCACATTTTTAGTAACTTCCTGAGCTCAGTGCTGGCAGAGATTTATTCTTAGTTGAGTTTTCGGATGACGAGTTTCTCTGCAAAATGAGAATGTCTAGTCTCTCTGTCGCACAATAAGGATGAACCTGTTGGAGGGATGAACCCCTGATCTACATCGAGGTTCGATTTCCAGGAATATCCGTAACCCTGACGAATTATTAATAATGAAGTATAGTTATAAAAATCTTCGTAAAACACAAGCTGAATTCGAGATAACCAGGAATAAACCTCAACTGCAACTCTTGTATGTATTCAGAAACCGAAAACGAAACACATTTTACTTTGTGGTTTCAACTGGAGCTTCAGCTTAACTAGGGCCAATGCCGATATGTGCTCCCTAGTGTTTTCTCGTTGGTGAAGAATGATGACAACACCGTTAAAGAATAAAAAGATAAAGCTTCGGCGTTGATCAATCCCTGAGGGATGCACCATACATTCGACTTCATTAAGCATCGTTTGGAGATGACTGAATGCATATCTGGCCTTTATAATAACTCGCGGTGGTCTACCGATGTATCGAGCCAGTGCTGTGCTGCTATTCTCCCAGACAAGTCTGGTACCAACTTGTCGACCCCGGAGGGATGGAACGTTTGGTGGGCCATGGGCGCGGGGATCGATTCCAAGTGTATGCTGCAGGGCACCTCCGACCATTTTGCCACATGCGCCCTGGAAACACCGTTAGAGTGAAAAAATGGTTGAGCGAGAGGGAGAGAGAGTCAAGGAAACGACTTCGGTTAGTGTGGTGGATAGTACGTGAGCCTTCGGAAAGGGTAATTGCACTTTGGAAGTCCACATGAGGTACCGAGTTTTGCTCATATCTCAATATCCTTGTGATCGTATTTTACATAGTACCTTGCCATGAAGAAAGAATAAGCAGTAAATAAAAGTCGGGCATTGCGATACACTGCTTTCAATAGGCCATTTATCGACAAACCATGGGAAAAGATGCACTTTTGTTTTCTAGTAGAGGACTGACTAGGAATTGTAATTGCTTAGTATTCCAACGACAAACGACGATTAGTTCCAGCGTTCGAACGAGCGGAATGTTTTTAGAGTATTGGGTTTTTACATTAGTGTGATTAGTTACCGTTTCACTCCAAATTCGATCATGCGCAGGGCACAGTTGTCTTTTCATTATTCGTAATTTATTCGCTGAAAATTCAACGACAGATTAGCGGCACTGTGGGCTGGGGTACTCTCGTACCTTGTTCGAAGTCACTATAAACGTCACCGTAGTCTTCATCATCAACAGTCGTCATCTAAAGAAGGCCTCGGTTTCTTTTCGATGTGTCAAAACTCAGTAGATAAACGAAGCAATCATCAATTTCCACGGATTTATAGTGCATGTATACCATTGACTTGTCTCCTTGCGTGGCTTCCAAGTGCACATCACCGCATAATTCGCGACCAGCCCTGAACTGACGTTGAGCTTAATGCCGTTAAGCTTACAAATCGTCATGCTTTCATTGTCCCCTTATACTCTTTTTAGGAGATTTTGCCTTTAACTTTATCGATGTCGTAAAGCCTTCTCACGTGAATCTTTGCTCCTTGAATCGTTTCGACTCATTGTTGTGCTGAAATATTAGTGAGTAGTTAGTGAGCTAACACACCTTCACTGTATCATACCACCAGTATAACACAAGACATATAATTATATCAATGAAATAAAAATTGAGGTAAACAGGCGCAATGAATACGTATCGATCGATGAATAGGAGCAAAGTCACCGATGGTGGTTACTTGATTAGTCTGAAACCATCGCTGGTCTTGCTTCTCATTCAGCGTTGTCTATCAGAAGGCATCAACGACTTCATGTGGTTATCACTAATGGTGAACGTTGATCGTTCGAAGAAAGCCGTCGCAAAATCACCGCGTCAATATAGATATGCGAAAGGTGAGCTATTATGATCTCATTAACACCATTTAGTTCTAACTGAATATTTAGTCGTTTGAGAAATCCTCTTTATTATCTGGAATGTCATTAGTCACTGACTAGCTGGAACAGATGTCAGTGAAACATCCATTCGTCGCCGTCAAACAACAGAATTACTATGTGATATTGGGCAGTATATAGGCCTGTTATTGTGATGGGAGGGGCACATTACGCTTCCGTGTGAATTCTGTGCGGATGGTCTCCACGAGACATACTCAGTGGAAGCCTCACAGATAGCGGTGAGTGTGTAACGCTGTGTTCAATGTGATTGAAATCTTGGTTTAGCGTTTTCTTTGTTTAGTTATGGAGGTGTTTGGCCGAATAGATTGCTGTCAACTTTCCAGGCTCTGAGGAAGGCGAAATCCGCCGTCAGCGTCAGCTTATTCGTGAATAAAGAATAAAAATAACACCTCGCGTTTGCTCAACAAGAATACGAAGAACTATTATGTCAGCCCTGTTCGCCCGACAGACACGAAAAGCATTACATTTCTGAACTTTCCCGTGGAAGAAGTTTACTCTTTTCCGGGTTCAGAGGTGAAAATAACTGGAACCAAGGACACCCTCTAACCACGAGAATGCGGTATACTACGGGAAAGATCTGAGGCTTCAGTGAAATCGACTGACCAGTAGCATTTAAATGTATAAAATAAAACACACTGATTTCCTTCCTGTTGTATCATTCATGTTGTCTAAACGGAAATTATAAACTCGTTGCTTAGTTATTTCGTACTAAAATCCATCGTAACAGGTTTACAGTGTCATTCACCAAGGTTCACCATCTATTGCAATCCAATAATGCACCATGTACAGTACGTACTGCTCAATACTGTTGAACGATCCGCGACAATTTTACACAATTGTTGGACAATTTTAATTTACTATTTACTGAAGGGCGCGTGTGGTGCAGTGGTTGGAGGCGCCACTGTGACACACGTGGAATCGATGCCCGCGCCTATGGGCCACCAAGCCTTCCGTCGCTCCGGAGTCGGCAAATTGGTATCAGATTTATCTGGGAGGATAGCTGCACTGGCTCGATGCATTGGTAGGCCACCACGAGTCAATGTAAAGGCCAGATATGCATTCAAACGCCTCCAACGATACTTAACGAAGTAGAATGCATGGCGCATCCCTCAGGGATTGATCAACGCCGAGAGCTTTTACTTACTGCCTACTCTTTTTAATGGCCGAATATGTTTCGAAATATAACTTCAATGATGCTGAGGTATTTGAAAAACTCCGGATCGCAGGTGTATGCGGTGGGGAACGAACGCGTTATTACCCTTTCCGGGGGCTAACGTATTCACCACCGCACCATGCGGGTCCTTTCTTTCACCTGTCTCTAGTTCTATCGATCGTAATTATCGACGATTATTATAACTACAGCCTCAGCTTAACTGGGTTCAGTGCCAATTTGGGCTCTCCAGATCAGTCCCGCTGACGGGTAATTGCTGATGGCATTGATCGATAAAACCGGCTGAGAGACAGACGAAACGAACGACCCGCATGGTGTGGTGGTCCCCGGAAAGGGTTATAACGCGTTCGTTCCCCACCGCATACACCTGCGATCCGGAGTTTTGCAAATAGCTCAGCATCATTGAAGTTACATTGTCGGACAGTTGATACCACATATCTTCAGATTCTTCGAAATAGCTACACATTCCATGACAGATTTCTAGATGAAAATCTGTTTATACAGTTTACGAACATCCAAAACTTCACGTAACATTTGCTATCGACTATAGCTCCTTTTCATTATAAATTCTACGAGTCAATTCGTGGTGTGGGTAGCTCAGTAGTAGTAGTTCTATTCATTACGCATACGACTCAACATAACCAGGCCTGGTTCGACCCTGCAAAGAACCTATCAAGCCTCAGCTTGTCCAGGACAAAGCCCCTCCTTCGAATCCGTCCTAACATGGCTATTTCAAGAATCCAGGAACTACCGACTCGATTAGCGTTAACGTCATTTGTGGAGAAGAAGAGAAAACTAGCAGCGAAATCTCCACCCAAAAAATTCGAAGACCGGCACGGATGTTGGATGCGGAGAAACGATTCTAATGCAAAAAGTGCCGGGATTCGCACACTGTGATACATATGATGCCGAGTCATGTAGCAAAATAATAATAATAATACTTGGATATTTGGATAGCACGTGAGCCCCCGGTAAGGGTAATCGCGGGCTCTTAACCAACCGTAGTTTCGAGATTTGCTCATATCTTACTATCTTTGTATTTCCATTTCACATAGTAACCTGCCATGAAAAAAAAAGAATAAGCAGTAGTTAAAAGTTAAATTATTGTGATTTTCACTGCAGTTTCGACCTAACTATGTTCAAATGCTGATTTGTTCTACTCAGATTATTATCGTTCAAGGGTTGACTGCTGATAGCATCGATAGTCACAAAGTGGTTGAGAGAAGAGCAATGCAATGGCCTCGGTTGGTGTGGTGGATAGCATGTGAGCCCGCGGAAAGGGTATTCGAGGGTTCGAAGCTCTCAGTATTCTTGTTTGATTCACGAATGATATCGTGTGTGAGTTCTATAACGTGATATATACAAAACGACTGCAGTTGCGAGCACAGCACACATTGCAGTTACGTACACGGTCGCCAATCAGTCGTTCCGGGTGACAATTGTGGATAATGTCCATGTAATACTTGATACTTGATACTTGAATGACCCATCCTCACTGGTTGTGCGGGCCGAAGCATAATCTCCACTTTTCGGAGATTTGCTGGTTAAGCCGTTGTGGTTCCCTGGAATCCCGAGGACAGCCTGGCCAAAGTCTGTCCCAGGTCTTCGCCACCACAGGCAGTCGCAGCTCTTGTGGATCAGAGCGAGATTTACCACCATGCGACTTTTATACCAGGACGGTGGCGGATCTTGGTAAGTTTACTCTTAGCTTAGCTTCCTGATGGAAATGTCGGACTCCTTCTCAGCTTGGGAGACCCTGCCAGATGATAAATCTCCTGCTGTACATAGCAGTCCGACACGCAGGAACACCTCCCAGCCACAATGGAGCGGTAAACCATTGCGAGTAATGTGCATGTGCACGTAATAACAATAATAAACAAGTCAATTTTTCCAAACGCTGTCGAATAAGATGGTGCTTATGCTTAACGCTTTTGTTATGCTCGATAGATTTCCGGTATACTCCAATGTCATTCATTCTTACGTATCTCAATACTTGAATGGCTAATCTTCACAAAGAAAGAATAGAATGAGTCTCAGCGCACTTTCCGTATAACTAATATTTTGCCCTCGTTGAGAAATCTTAGTGCTGGATGACCTATGCCATAGCTTTCTCACATTGTTGTCATAGATCAGTGTGTAACCATACAAATCGCATAGAGACTCATTATTTAGTGACCAGGTTTCTTGCATGAAAACAGAAATTGGATCATCTCCTATTAAATCGGAAAAATAGCCAGCTCATGAAAAACTTATGGTGCTAATTTGAACAAATGGAACAGGATTGTGGTCCGGTGGTCGCCCGGTTACACAGACCTAATTCTACTTTGGCGTTCAATGAGCATGGAGAACAACATGAAAGAAAAGACAAACAGACAGAAAAAGGATAGGCACTGGTTACATTCTGGCCTCTCAAAAAAGCTGCGGACCAGCAAACGGACCCGAAAGTGCGCGTTCACTTTTTCGACTCAGCGGTTCTCCCACCCAGCACTCCGTATGCAGCAGTGACGTGGATTGATGCGTTAACTCCATCAAAATTTTACGCACCATTAAGACAGCGCTTGAACGAAGTCTTCTCAAATATAGCAGCAAACCGAAGCAATGTCTAGCCTGAATGCAAAGTTCAGAAGTTCGAGTTCTATCCTATCTTCAAGATTCAGGAGATTACGTACCGATTGCAAACACGGATGGGCCAGTTATATAGTAAGAATAATATATTACAGATGAACGAAAAAAACAGCGCAGTTGACTCCAAGGGGATGAATGCGTCGTATAGGACGAGCAGCCAAGTGATGGATGGATCTGTTTGTAAGAAAAATCAATCAGGTGTATTCGCATCTGTCAATGTTTTACAGTTTACGGTATGAGTACTCGCACCCGCCACCATGATCAAATCAAGCCACCACCACTGTGGACGACTACTGCGAAGCAAAGAAATGAATGGAAAATGTGTTGGGGTCCGCACAACTGGCGAAGATGGCCATCCATGTATCCAGGGATCCATATACAGCAGCAATTCACGGCATTAATTCATCTACATATGGACTTCCCGATTATGATGTTTTCCTTCTGAGTATACTCGATCTACTACAAAGATGGTAGAAAATGATTCGGGGTCGGTCATTCGACTTGCTGTTCAGTTTTTTTGCAAAAGCACATTTAAGTTTACTTGTATTCGTACTTAGAGAAAACCTTATTTCCAATATATTAATTGCCTGTCAGACAATCGTAGGCTGTAGTTCGAAAAAATTCCAAGCGACGTCGTCAAAAATGAGCCTTTCCTTTTAGTTCTCCAAAATGTATTTATCAGCTGGTCGTATTTTTTAAGAAACTCGGTGGTACTTCTGCAAACAAATTCACTATAAAAGAAGGTAGGATGTCGAGATCGCCGATGCGCCACCGTAGTGCCGTATCACGTATGTATTATACAATTTACGATCCTAGTCACAACGCATGGTACAAATGTAGGCTAGGCTGAACTCGGGACTCCAGGAAACTACAATGATTAAACCAGCAAACTCTGAAAAAGTGGAAATTATGATAGGGTCTGCACAACCAATGAAGACGGGACATCCACGTATCCAAATAAGTCACAACACACACATACGCAGATGCATGCGCACATGTGTATACACACACACACGCACGCACGCACGCACTCACGCATGTGTATATATACATATGTATTATATACGAGCGAACGTACGCGCACATCGTTTTCGTTTTGTTCTTAGAAGTTTATTTTCGAATTAAGTTATTTAGCATGTTTGTCGACCCACTTTAATGTGGAAGAGGAGATCCACTTATTGTGCTGTGCTTATTTGAGATACTTGGTGTAGATACTCTCAGTAGAGAGCATAGAGATTGTTCTCTAACCTATAGAGAATGGTCTCCATTTCAATATTAATCTGGAATATAAAATTATTTCACACAAGGCTCGCCCTGCATTGACATTGCACAACCACACGGCGACATTGCTGCTCGTCTGACCTTGCAACCTTTGCCATTTACTTAGGTATGGATCACGGCCCAAAGCAATAGCATTTCCCTTCAGATGACATGTGAAGGTCGCCGACATCCTTCCTTATCACTTGCTCTCCTTCTTAGTCTTCTCCTTCCACGATTTCGTCGATTTGCTTAGGCAAAAATAATGTTAACTAAGTTCTCACGCCCACGAACGTCCCCCATATGAGGGATCTCGAGCCGATTAGTGGCGAGCTACGTGGCGCGTCCCCAGGTGGCGGATAGGCGGTTAATCGCGGCCCGAAAGCGACCTTTGCTTCCCTGTGGCGCAGGTGGATCCAGGGATGGACTCTGTTTCTGCAGCGCTGATTTGGCACACACTTTCTGTATTTACTAGGCGTATTTATGCATGCGTATGTGGGTGCGTTCTTGCTTATGCGGATTGTATTCTACGAGTCAATTTGGCCAAAAGCCTGCAATCAAGTAACTGGGAAATATATGAGAGGCGGTTAGGAGTCGCCTCCAAGTCAGCTCCATGTCCACTCCGGAAGAGCCTAGCAAGTTACCCCTGAGTATACCCAGCCTCCACGTTCAGACCCCAGCAAGCTATACGTGGGTATCAAAAATGTTAAACACAGTAAAAAAAAAACGGGCCTCATTCCCCTGACCCCGAAAGAGCCCCCAATTTCGCAGCATTGGGTAGGACGAGTACGGAGGGGCTGTTAAAATCTTAGGGCCACTGGAAGCTGCCTGGATTACAAAGAACTATGGTGACGATCTGTACCTACAATGCACGTACACTTGCACCCGAGTTCTCGATAGAAGACTTGCTCATGCATGCAAGAAGGATAAAGTGCGACGTCATCGCCCTGGTCCAGACGAGAAGAAGCCAGCCTTTCCACGCCGTCTATGATACCGGAGAAGAACTGCTCGGAACATGCGACAGTAGAGGAGTTGGCAGCGTCGGCGTTCTCGTCAACACGGTTTGTCCGTGAACGTCGATTCATTCGAACAACTTACAACCCAAATCGGAGGTTTACGATTAAAAAGACGTGGATTAGTTCCGGCTTTGACAATCTTCGTCGTTTACGCGCCGACATCAAACTGTGAAAGACTACACATTCTTCAACGTCATCATTGGAGATTTCAACGCCAAGATTGGACCAAGGAGAACGTCTGAAGAACGACACATTGTGAAATACGGGTTAGAATGGAATGAACAGGATGAGCGGCTGAGTTCATCATGGCGACCAAGACCATCTATAGTAAGTCACAATTCCAGAAGCTCCATCCTCACGATGAACGTGGGAGTCCCCCAATGGAGAGTACCATAGCGAAATAGACCACATCATAGTAAATCGAAGGTTTTGCCTAACCGATGTCGCTGTTGTCCCAAAATTCTACACGAAATAAGACCACCATCTCCTTCGTGCAAGATTCTAGCTAAATTCCAAAACCGAAGTTCCAGAACCACCGTAAACTGGGATTTATTCAATTCATTTGTCGGCTGCTGGCAAGATGCCGTTGTCGATAACATCGACGAAGAATACGATCGGCTCATTCAACATCTTCACGCTAGCGCTATGTAAGCTCAGAGTTCGAAAGTAACCAAGAGACATCTGTCTCCAGAAACACGAGCTGATACGGCCGCGTGGAACCGCACGAGTTGCAGGCAGCCGCGAACTAACGTCCGAGCTAGCAAAACAATGCAGATAGGCGATAAAAGATCTTAGAGAGAGAATAGCAGCAGTAATCGCTGAAGCTGCAGAGAACTGGGAAAAGCATTCGCAAAACCCACCGAAACTTCACCAATTACAAGACCACAATGATTGCTCTCCTGCGCCCAGATGGAACAGTTACAGCGTCCAGAAAGGCAATGGAGAAATCATTCACGAAATACTACTCAAGTCTCTTCGATAGCCACGTCCACCTTCCATCATATGAAATAAAGGAGGACGGGTATGTTGTACTACCGGTTCTCCCTTCCGAAATCCGACATGCCATTTCGTCGGTGAAAAAATCGAACAGCACCAGGTCCAGACAGGATTAGACCAAAACACTTGAAGAACCTTCCACCAGCCCTCGTAAACACACTGGCTAGGTTCTTCACACGTTACCTGTCTGAATGCAAAGTCCCTACTCAGTGAAAGACCAGCAAGACCGTATTATTATTCAGGAAGGGTGACCTACACGATATCCGCAACTATCGCCCAATCTGCTTACTGTCTGTCGTCTACAAACTTTCCACTTGAGTCATCCTGAACACTTACAGAACACTAGACGAAGGACAGCCACGTGAGCAAGCAGGGCTTCGAAGGGGATTTAGTGAGATGGACCACATCCACACGGTAGCACAGCTCATTGAAGTATCATAAGAGTAGAAAGGACCACTCTGTCTCATTTTCATCGATTTACAGAAGGCCTCTGATTCAGTTGAGATAGAAGCAGTCTTGGAAGCCCTTGATAGTCAAGGAGTCCCTACTTAGTACATAAAAATTCTTCGTGAACTGTACAAAAATTCCACAACCAAGATATCACCATTCTACAACGACATTTACTCTGTCGTCAAAAGAGGAGTTAGACAAGGCGATACTATCTTGCCAAAATTATTTACCGCCACTCTCCAGAACGTCATGCCAGCATTGGAATGGGACAATATGGGAGTGAAAATCGACGGTCGGCAGTTACACCATCTTCGCTTTCCTGACGACATCGTCCTTGTAACACCAAACATTTGCCAAGCGGAACGTATGCTTGACGACTTTGATAAAGCCTGTGGAAAGATTGGTCTTGGCCTAAATCTCACAAAAACGATGTTCATGAAGAACGGATTGGTTTCGCATGGCCCATTCACGCTCAACGGAACGAATATCTTCGAATGCTCCAGTTAAATCTATCTAGATCGGGAAGTCAATATGATGAACGACCTAGCTACAGAGCTGAGCAGAAGAAAACGAGCGGCTTGAGGAGCTTTCAAGAGCATCGAGGATGTAGTGAAGAGAACAAAGAACACCCGACTCCGTGTCCACCTTTTCGACTCAACGATACTTTGTACCGTAACGTATGCATCAGAAACCTGGTTTCTGCGTAAGCAGGATGGAAGAACACTCAGCGTTATTGAGCGTGCAGTCGAATGCACGATGCAAGGACTATCCCGTTCCACACAAGTAAGGGATGGGATCCGAAGCTCCGATATGCGTCAACAATCAAAAATCAAAGGTGCCGTTCTGTACACCAATGAGTTGAAGATAAGATGGGCCAGACACGTAATGCATATGAATGACAACCGATGGACAAGAGCCGTCAGTGACTGGATTCCCTAGGATGTTAAACGCACTGCAGGAAGACCAGCGACCGGATGGTCAGCGTTCTTCACGAAGAGCCTAGAAGAAAGACACGATGCTCGACGAGTCCCTAAAGCGAGCAGAATGCGCTGAGCTACCCTTGCACGCGACAGGGAAAAATGGAATATTTACTGGAGTCCGCTCGATTCACTCGACGATCAACGGGACTGCAGGTGATACAGGTGAACTCGTTTGAATAGCAAGTGCATGTTCACTTCGTTTAATAAGTCGCGAAAGCTCAGTTGTTATAAATACTGTGCAAAGCACGCGCAATCGCTAGATTGCCGCAATGTCACTTGTACCGCAATGGTTGAAGGCCGCTGCAATACACATGAGATCAATCCTGCGCTCCAGGCCCGGTAATCCTTCCATCCCCAGGGTCGGCAAATTGATACCAGACTTTTCTGAGAGGATATTAGCACTGACTCGATACATCGGCAGGCATCCTTGAGTTATTGTATAGGCCAGATATGCATTTAATCACCTCAAACGATACTCAATGAAGTTGAATGCTTGGTGGATCCCTAAGGGATTGATCAACGCCAGTAGTTTTGTCTCTTTTATCTTTAACGTGATCTCCAATCTTCATGTAATCACTATGCATTGTTAGTCTAGCAACTACCTCAAATTGTTGCACTTTCTATAAGTACTATACGAAAGTCACCATTGCCACATCAGTTCGTTTGTTTATAATTCCGTTGCTCACAAATCCACCAATAGCTTGGACGTGTTTGTGTGATGCGTGAATTATCCTGCTTAATACTTTGTCACTCAGCTGAAACTTCTTACTCGTTGCTTGTGTAACCTCTTCATCGCTATAACACTCTCGTAGTGTGATCACGTAAATAATTACGCGATTATTGTTTTAGTAGTACTGTTACCCTCTCAACGGTCTACCGTCTCATCGTGGCTGGGAGGCGTTCCTCGGTATCGGACTACGATGTACAGTGTCAGGATTCATCCTTCAGCAGGGCTTTCCAAGCTGAGGAGTCCAACGTTTCCACCGGGAAACTTAGCCAAGAGTAAACCAATACCAGGATTCACCACCGTCTTGGTATCAAAGTCGTATGGTGACAAACTCCCTCTGATCCACAAGGACTGCGACTGCCTGTGGTGGCGATGACCTGGGCCAGACTTTGGTCAGGGTGTTCTCGGCATTCCAGGGAAGCACAATGGCTTAACCACCAAATCTCCGAAAAATGGAGATTGTGCTGGGGACTGCACAACCAATAAGGACGAGCCATTCAAGTATCAAGTATCAAGTAGTACTGTTACATAAACTGTCTTTTCAACCTTAACCTTCTTATTTACTCCCTACTACAATTTTTCGCGTCAGGGTACCATGTGAAATAAAACTAGGATGATGCTGAGATATTTGCAAAACTCCGGACCGCAGATGTTTGCGATGGGGAACGAACGCGTTATTACCCTTTCCGGGGACTAACGCGTCCAGCACCACACCATGCGGGTCCTTCGCTTCGCCTGTCTCTCAGCTACTTTCAATCAGCGCCATAAACTAGCTGAAAGACTGTCTTTTTATTTGCACTTTCATGCCATCATAAACCCGTTGCACACTCTCTACATCACTGTTAATGGAATTTCTTACGCATACTACTGCTGCGCCCAATAAGCCTAAGTTTATATGTGCATATATAACGTCATTGCATGATTATCATGTAGGTATAATGCATATATATGGGCTAATTACCCAGGTTTCAGACTACGACTTGCGACACTTAGGAATAGTTCTGCGCAGCAGGGCGAAATAAGAGATGCAAGCACCACACGAGCCAACCAATACACTTAGCATTATAAGGACTAAAACAACAGGTTAGCACACTAGGAAGCCATTTAACTCCATACAGTTTGTGTAACAACTCAATAAAAAAGTAGAAATTCAAAAAAGCAGATGGTAATGTGGGCGATTTTGGGATGATTCCAGTGTTTCAGCTGAAGCTGATGGCGTCGTCGAGTACCTTGTTGTTCATTTTCTTGATTGTCGGCAACGCAAGACACATCAAGAAGACAAGCTCGAGTATCACCTGCCCAAAGTTGAAAAAGTGTAGCAAACCGCAGAGATAGTTCTAATAAAATACTTCGCTTAACGGGAAATGTGGAACTCATTAAAAAAACATGTATGCATACCATATAGACTTATGAAAGAAAGTGGTCTTGGATATTAAACAGAACATGACGACCTACTTTCTATTTGTATCATCTGTCTTCATATATTGTGCGGATCTCAGTACATTCTTCATTCAGTCCGCTTTCTCTCATCTCTAACCTAAGAAGGTTTTCGGATTTCGTATGAGAGTGAACTGCCGGTTGAAGTTTTTGGTTTCATTCATTAATGTCACTGAACCGATGCGTGTAGCGCAGCGGTCGGAGACGCTTTACAACACACATGGGATCGATACCCGGGCCCCAGGCCCACCAAGCTCTCCATTCCTACGGGATCGGTAAATTGCCATCCGACTTAACCGGGAGGAAAGCAACACTGGTTCGATACATTGGTAGATATGCATTCAATCACCTCCAACGATGCTTAGTCGATAAAGTCGAATGCATGGAGCACCACTCAAGAAGAGATCGACGCTGAGAGCTTAATCCTTTTTATTCAATGTCACTGTATTGGACTGGGATAGCGCAATGGTTGGTGACGCCGTCGATCGCGAAGCACAGGTGATAGCTCCATTGCTGCCCCAACGCTGTCCTCCATTCCATATGGGGATAGTTTAGCCCAATGATTTGCGAGACTGCAAGGAG